CTTTGCCGTTGTTTTGCACGACTAAAACGAGAAACTTCCAGAAACATCCTGGCTAGACGTTTTATGTAGGAAATGTCGTACGTGTTCTTGTTCACTTTTTTTCCACTGTCGCCCATTTTCACCCAGGTGGCCGCTAGCATTTCTTGTTTTCTCACCGCCGCTACAAAATTTCATGTTGTTCCTCCAACAAAAAATGTCCAGCGCGCGCGAGAGCTCCGCTATAACGATTATCAATGGTAGGTCTGCAATCATAGGAGTGTTCACATTCGTACGACTTAATTATGCACAGGAACACCTAGAATAAAAAAAATGTCAGTGTCAAATTAGCAAGGTACGCCCCACGTTTAACGAAATGTTAAAAAAGAATGATTTTGCGGGAATGAGGACTGAGTACTGCGACTAAGAGGTCTCCATGATAAATTTCGTTATTTCTTTCTCACAAAAACCTTCTGTCACATTTTTAAACACAGTGTACCGAAACTAAAGGAATACTTCACAAAATCATGATAAAAATTCAAAACGACAGAGCAAAAAATTTGCTAACGGTTCGTAAGTACTAAAGAAAGTATTTGCATCCTATCTGCAATTTATGGAGAGGGAAAAGGCGAGCCATTGTTAACACTTTTACTTGTGAAATAAAACAATGAAAAAGATCTGTATTTATAGTTGACGAATGCTTATTAGGTGAACAAGCGGTTTCTATGAATTAGTATTGGGTTCTACAGAGGTGTTTTTCTATACCGATTTGTCATAACATTCATGAATAATTACTGAATTTTACAAGGTGTAGTTTGCAAGAATCAGTTAGCAAAAGATCTAACTGTAGTATCACCTCTGGCTGAGTTGATCATGAGCTGTTCAATGGGCTGAATCGCAAAAGAGAAGGAAAAAGGTAATTCACTCATTCCTTTTCCAACCTAAGTAAGGTTATTTAACGGAGGAAAGGGGTAAAGGAATGCTATATAGAAAGAAATTATCTTGAAAAGTGTGTAGCTGTTTGCGTCCCAGTTGGCAATAAGGTTCAAGCGTTATGCAGGAAACCTGAAAGTTTTGGTGCCGCCCAAGTTCATGTTATTTTACGTTTAGAAGAAGAATGCACGAATCCTCTACTTCGACAATTGTCTTAAAAAGGGATTATAGCGGTAGAACTGAACCGATGTATTGAACACTCTGATCATGCTTTTCGTCTTTAGCAATTTCATCACACAGTCATGGACCCGTAAATTGCGCAGATATTTGTATAATAATACTTCTTCACCTAAACCTACGTGTTGTTATCTTTTTAACATAGGAGTGTTGACATGAATGTGAGGCCTAAGATATATTATTCGAATATTAGCGCCATTAACACCAAGGTTTTTTAGGGCGCTAAGAAAATGGCAGAGGTAAAAAGAACAATTCATGATGTTGCACAGTCGACGATCGAGTCCTGTTTTTAATTTAAATGACTTGGTTTTGCACTCAGAATAATGAGGATGTATACAATACCATATAGCGTGTCTTAATTTGGCATTCTTTAACTTCACGATTCTAAAATCCGAATTGTGCAGCAGATTACATTAAGTTTACGCAGAGAAAACGAAAAGATAAATGAAAAAGGCCAAAACATTATAATTAAACATTGAACTTTAATTTTAAAAAATACTAGGGAATTTTTCCTCCAGGGCTAATTGGCGATTAAAAGTGGAAACTTTGACGCTAAAATTGGAGTTCCGAACACAGTGTATTCCCATTTTGTTTTTCCTGTGGCAATGCAACGCTATTACAATATGGTGCACGGGAGATAATCTCAAGCATGTTAAGGCATGGCTCAATTTTTGGTCTCGACCCACCCCCGAAGATAAACCTATTTTTCTTCTACGGCCACGCATTTTAATTCTAAAAGTTGCAAAAAACGTTCGGGAAACTTTCTTTCGAGGCGTTGAATTAATTTGGGTTGAAGTGATGTAGTCACGTGAAACGTGACGTCATAATGATATTCAAAAAGAAATTCAAAATGGGGTAGGAATGGTTGATTACAACTAACTTTGAACCATGTGTAAATGTTTGTTTTACCGTACGATTTTTTTTCGTGGCCGGAACGGAGAGAATTTTTAATTTCTTGAAAAGGTATTAACAGGTGAAAAATGTGACGTGACCTATTTTGCTTAATTACTAATTAAATTAAAACGTGAGTCAACCATTCCGACCAGATTCAAGCGAGAAATGATGATACAATAACAAAAATACTGTATTTAATATATACTGTGTGGCATCTCGCCACCCCATTTTTAGTTTTCTTTTCTTTCCTAGACTCGACCATAAGTGGTCACGTGACACAGATATCTGATTTCTTACATTACAGGAAAATTAAGGTTACCGATTTTTCCGAGGTTGCCAATTTTTTTTTTCTAATAAATTTTCACAAAGTTATGACCATTATAAGATTTTATGCAAATTAGCCTCAGGCCATGCCTTAACATGCTTAAGAAAACCTTAAATATTTAAAGCAAAGAGAGAAACATTGGACGTCTCATGTGAAGATAACTTTGTATCAAAAGACCGACGAACTTTCAAGTCAGTCATCCCGGCGCAAAATTTCGCGCAATCCCGTACAACCGATTGGTATTTATGACATCTCACCTCGCGTGTATACTCTCAACCACGAATCTCGCCCCGATTTTGCTTTAGTCTTTGCTTCAAAATCCCAAATCTCGAGCTTCAAACAAGGGAAAACCAGGATCCCGCGATAAACCTTCTGGGGACCCTCCCTTGAAGCTACCAGATTTTTTTTGTACATTGATCCACTTTATGTATGCGTTTATTGAATCTCAATAGGCCATATGCACTAAGAGGCCATGTGACATTATTTTATGAAAATGAAGGTTATATGATTTAGCCTTCGAAAAACGATTAGTGGGTTATATCTTAAACAAAATAATAGTGATTTCGTTTTTCAAACCCGCACCATTTTCTTAAAATGAGTAAGTTCCTAGCTGGTAACGTGACAAAAATGTGGTTTTTTAAAATTCTGAATTACCTCTTTTTCAACACAAATTTTGCACTTAAACTTTAAGGAAAATGTTGAAAAGATGATGTGATAACGTTTACAGGACATTTGAGTGTAACTATCAAACGTTTAACAAGATATAAGCAAAAAGTAGTATTGGCCGCCTTGTTGGAGGGCAAGACTATGCCCTCCAACATGGTGGCCAATACAAATCATACTACTTTCTTGAAAAATCAAATTGCCATAAAATATCTCCCTTAAATGCGTTTGCTCTCAAATTTCGGATGTAAGATAATTTTTATGTACTCTGTCAATTTTTGGCATCAGCAAGATTCCAACTCATTGTTTAAAGGAAGCATTAGTCACGTGACCTCTTAGTGCAAGTGGCCTATAGTTCTCCTATAAAACACATCCAAAAGCGTATTTTATCACACAGGTCAGATAAATAAAGCAAGGAAAGTGTCTAAAAAAAAATTCGACTAGGGCTGTTGTTGCTGTCGCCATCATTATCATCATCATATCATTATTATGTTCAGTTCGAATATAAAAGCATTCCGAGCATTTCTCACATTTTGCATGCAGCTTGGCTTAGCGGCCCTGAAGCAAACAATATTTTACGTAAATCCTTTACAAAAAGCTTTCACTTTAATTTGCTGTTTTTGTTAAGCAGAACCAGATGAAAATTAAGCAAAACAACAGATTCTTATAATGCATTGCTAACGTGCAGGCGTTAATTACATCGACAAAAGTCAGATTTGAGCATTTAATTCACGTTTTTGGTAGGAAGGAGGTGCCTCTATTATTCTTTATACTGAATCAGTTGACTTCTTCTTTAATTTACCCTCAAATTGAAAAAATTATTTTAAAATTGTTCAGAAAGACCTAAAAAAGAGGGAACTTTGAACCTCTTAGATGACGATAAGGTTATATCAACAGGAACCCCACTAGTTTTGTCGCTGCTGATGTGGCCGTCGCATTCACTCGGTGTATGTGTGAATCTGTTGATCACAGGATGAGGTCGACAACCCGTCTTGTAAGAAGACTATGGCGTTAAGAAAAGCATTTTTAAACAGGGCGCGCAGCGCGCAGAACCTAACGTTATCCTACAAAATCCCTAGCACTATATCGCGGGTGGTGGTGCGGCTTGTACCCAACAAGGAGGCAAGCCCATCAAGACATATGCTGATGACTCGACGTTACAATCAGTGCCAGGAATTTTGTCTGAGAAAATAGTCGGGGTGAGATTCACGTTACTAGAAGTTGACTTGTTTATTTTCAATTGCTGCAGTTTGCGGATGCGTTTAATCATCTGGTAGATTGCAGTCAGTAATAGAACGAGAAATTTACTTTACACTTAAAGTACCCTAACCGTCGACAATGAAAGTTACAGTCGTAAAAACACCAATGTCGACCGCTAATGAATCAAGGTTTGATAAGGATATGGCTAAGAAAAATGGTTGAAAGATCTCTTCTTTCATTCATTAAAAAATGAAAGCGATAACCACAACGATGCCAACTAGGATAAGCACATTTCCTTGGCAACAGTTTCTTCAGGCAGTATTAAAACACCGCCTAAATTCACACATATTATTATTCCAAAAAGGGACTTCGATTAAAATAGAGCACTGCATGAGACAAACATTTAAAAAATCAGTTACTTTGTTCTTTAATTCAGGTCCCTTGTGTTTCGTTGGTATTTGTATCTCGCTTGTATTACGTTTGTATGCGCTTGTTTTAGGATATGTGATGTCCACACTTCACCGTATAGCTCTTACGCCGCCACCAAAACCATATAGATCGTTTTCAGTCACGTAGTCTACAGCTTTGCAAATTGCTTGGAATAAAAGAAAGCTTTCACAAATAAGAATACCAGAAATTACTCCCCTAATATTTGTTAACAAATAAGAGCAATAAACACAACGATGCCTACTAGAAAATTATATTTCCCTGACAACGGGTTTTTTTTTTTCACGTGATTATTAAAACACACGGAACCGCATTTAGCTTGCTTTAATATCAGCTATGGTTGATCGACATCATCACTGTTACGTTTGTTTGCAAGGATTGATCGAAATTAATTATTTTCTGTTACTTATAACTTAGTTGCCTTGGAGGAAATAGCCGACTTCTTTTCACTATACTACCTTGGTCACATTTTGCTCCTAAATAAGGTAAGCTTTTCACACCTTGCATTTATATTCATTTTATGTCGCTTGGGGAGCCTCTCCCCGCTTCAATATGTAACTCAGCTGGTGGTCAGAAATACGCCTTGCGATGGAGGCTATTATAATATACTTTTAAGACTTAAAGGTTAGACTTCCAACAAATGCTAAGCTACAATTGTTCAAGAAAGCCTTTACCACACCTTGACATGACTGCCAGTTCTTGCGGCGCATTTCTAACGGATCTAGTATCGCCAACAAGTTAGAAAGATTAAAGGAAAGAGCTGGCTTTTTGTTTAAAGGCGGTTTATAAAGAAAAACGTGCAAGGAGCCGCTACTTTAGCAACTGCAGTGAGAGCAAAGTTGACCTCGTTATGGCGCTTATAGGGCATAAAATTATGCATACTTTTAAAATACAACTTGAAACACAATTTAAGCCCTACGAATATTCGTGATAACTTTAGGAACATAACATCCAAATACAATACGGAAAACACATTCGTCAGGTTCCTTAGGCCCCCAAAAGGCGGAAAGGGATCTGCTAATTCGCTGGTAGTATTTAAAAATTAGAACTAAATACGCCGTAAGCGTCATATAAATATCTTTTTTCTTCTTTGACTTCTGCTAACAATCTTAATCTCCCTACTCTTCTCACTCTTTTCTACTTTTCTACTCTTCTCTACTTACTAGTTCAAGTATAGTAGCGGTTTTTATAGCCAAAGCTGGACATGTTTGGGTTAGCTGATCGGGAGAGTTTCTGTTGTATATCTTATCGCTAACATTGCAACAGGTTTTCCATTGTTAGAGAGTAGATTAGCCTACGCACAGTCGCAACTGACAAGTACCAAAGAACCAAGGTCAGCTCTCTAACACCAAAATCACGACTGCACCTGTAAAAAGCTATCATCTGACAATGCCAAGCGAATAATATTCCTAATATGGCAATAAGTAAATTGTAAGTAAAAACAAAAGATCAAAACAGGAAAACAGTACGTGGGCAAAAACAAGACTAAATGAAACAAAAACTAAACTTAAAAGACAAGATAGATCCGTCTTAAAAATAACTTTCAAAATACTTCAAAACTGACAATACTTTAAGACGAAGGCTGCTGTGAGGGGCTGTGTCCTTTTTGAATAACTTCTAATCAAAGTTTTCCAACTATCAGGGGCACCCAGCGACTTTTTTCTGTAAAATGACTCTTCGAATGAGCAAATGTTGCTTAGAAATTTCTAAAGCTTAAGAAAAGCTAAAAATTTCTGTATAACCGTTCCATTCGTCTCAAATATTCGGAGGTTTTCTAATAGCTTAACTACGATTTTCGAAGGTTGTGTAAGTCACATTTTAATACCAAGATATTGCGATTATTGTTAAAAAAGGTCTCCTCAAACTTTCGGTATAAAGACAAAACGTCCCCTAAAATTTTCTTATGACAGCAAGGTTACTTCATGTTCTCGAACTTTCGACCGGACCCATAAGGGTAGCTAACACTTTCGAATGAGACGAAACTAGAGCCACCTAAAACCTTTCGAGACGAACAGAGTTCCCCTAAGACATCCGAACAGATAAATGGTTTTTAGGGCAACTCCAAATTGACCAAACGGGTATAGAGAAAACCATCTGACACACTTCTGGCGTACGTGGAAACATTTGGTCGTTGGGCCCCCCTGAATTATTTCTTGAGCATAGATTAAATTAGTTAACTTTGTATAACCGAACTGTGCAAAGTACAGTTTTCTAGTTTTTTGAATAGTTGATTTTTTTATTTGTATTTTACTGTATGTGACTGCGCGATGCGGTAGTTCTGTCAGCCCACAATTGACCTGCTCATCATTAAGTTCTCAGTAGCTCAGTGGTTAAAGTACTAGTGTACGGAAGGTCGTGGGTTCAATTATTTCCCATCTGGAACTCAGAAATTTTTTTCTTTGTTCTTCTCTCTACACATATCATTTCCTTTCTTATTATTTTATTGTGTCCCCAAAAAAGTGTGGGTCTTGTTTTCCTGTTTCGGTAGTTTCTCGGTAACGCCAGATACACCCTGCCAGCACAGCCTCCTAGCTTTTGTCTTCTTCTTGATTGAGGGTAAGATAAAAAATTAAGGAGGTTCTGCATGAATCGTGTCAAGCCTATGAAGTCGCCGCAGCCCGAACTTCTGGACTGGTCAGTCCTGTTTTTCTCTCGTCAAACTGGTTTTTCAAGTGCGCCAGCATTCGTTAATTGTTAAACTGATGCTTGTAACTGAGCCCTTTGTACCAAGCACAATGACCTGGGTTCGAAACTGTATCCTAGCAAAATGTAGCGCATGCTCAATAAAGATCTTACTGGATTCATTTCTCGAAAACGCCATAATCGAGCAAGCGAAAGCTAAGGAAGGCTCTAACAGTTTGGCAATAGAAAAGACTAAACGTAATGACAGGAAAACCCTTAACAGGAACTAATTTCCTCTGCTGGAAGGGTGCGTCAGGTGATATCCATTCCGTGCGAAACGCTCACTGGCTCTTGCTAAGAACCAAGAGACAAAACTTAGCAAATGCTCAGGACAAATTTTCTTTCTTTTTTCCTCGTCTTTTCATTTCTTTTCCTGTTTTGTTTTTGAATTTTTTTTTTGCCTTTTAAGTGTTACGTCATGGTTCGCTAAATCATGTTACTGCTGCCGCCGGGCGATCCTGACGATCCTTATAGAGCGTAGCAGCCACCTATTTACAATGGAGGGTCAGGCAGGGGGATAGAAATTTCAGACGAGCACAAGCTTGATTATCGGACATAAACAGCATAAAATATATAATTACGGAAAGCGCCGACAAATTTCCTGAATACAGAGGATACAGCCGATCGCTTCATTTCGCCTTGATGAATACTTTCATACTTGCAATAGCTGTTATTCCTACACAATATTCTACATATATTTTGTTTTTGTTCTTTGGCAAACTGTTAATGCAAGTTACTTTGCTGCATATCGATACATATAAATTTATTTGCACTTCTTAATTGTCAGCCATCTCTTCTAGTTCCAAAGCCAGCAATCATGCACTTCTACCTTAAAATTTAGAGTTACAAGGACATTTTCGAAACCGTATATTTTTGTTTACCCGGATTCGTGTGCACGTAGTCCGGCTACACAGCCGTTATTAGTGTCGTCACACAACGCTCCTCGTGGGAAGGAGCGTTGCGTGACAATAAAAACCACTAGTGTTGCAGATTACAGTGTGGACGTGAGCGATTTCAAAAATATCCGGATTCGTGTGGACAGGGCCTGATACGCCAGGGTTATGAATATAGCCAGTGGACACTCGAGAAGTTACATCGCAAAGAGTGACAGAGACAAGAAGAAAGGTATAAAAACAAAAACTTCAAAAACATGTTTTCCAGATGGCTTGCGCATTTGTGTTAAGTCCTAAAATTGTGCATAATCCATCTAATTACTGGTTTGTCTTTGAGTTTCATTTGTTTGGTTTCACTCTGTTTACTCAAACCAATTAAACTAAATCGGTGTTTACTTTTCAGTCAGACGGGGTTTGTCTGTCACACGCCATGACTCCGTTGCGTTAAAGAAAGATAGTCTCATCAATCCATGAGATAAATTGCTTCACTAAATTCTTTTATGTAAGATGAGTTAGAGCTCAGCAAATTGAACCGTGTTTGTTTATGCCATTCTGTGTCGACACTTAAGAGTCACGGACGGCCGCCTTTGACAGGTTATTTAAGCTCTTTCGCTACAGGTCGTTTTATAAATAACCAATAGCTTACTACATAAATACGATATTGTGTAACCAAACGATAAACAACTCACTTGTTTCCCAATGAAAATTCTTCTCTTCTAGTTCACTTTACATATCATGTTCCGTCGTTCATCGTAGTTATGAGACGAAGAGGAAGTTTCAAGGCACAGTTAGGATTCGGGGTTTTCGTTGCCCTGCTTTTTGCCTTTTACACTTGGAAAACTCATGATCTGACCCAGGATGTCTCAAGAAAATCTTCCTCACTTTCAGAAAAACTTTCAGGTATGTTTATCTTTTGAATTAAGAAACTGTGAAAATACTAAATACAAAACAAATTTATTGCGTTCTTACATACAACAGTAAACCGCAACACGTTATTCCTCGTTAGCTTTTCAAGTCCATCTTTGGGCAAAACGTTCCAGTGTTTTTGGATGCTGGTATGTAAAATTATGCCTGCCACCTTAAGGAAAAAAAAAATCATTTTGGACCTGACACCAAATAAGTGGGATAAAGTGACATTTTCAAAAAAAATGAATAAAGTTTTGTGGAGGAAATATAACTTGGGGTCCAGGCGGGGGCGGGAACGAATTACCTGTATAACCTGCCTGGTCATAAACTAACTTCTCCTTCTTGTCATAAGTTTCCAAAGCAACTAATCTCCAAACGGTTCTAGCATTAGCAGGAGAACCTTTTATTCCCAAAAAATCAAAAAATCACTTGACAGATGAAATTAATCTTTTGATTCATGTTCAAACATTTTAAGGTTACTGTCCTTATTGCTAAAATTACTAAAGAGAAACGTCGTTCTCCAGTTTGATTAAGAGAATTGTCATTATTTTTTAGTCATGTTTATCTCAGTCAGAGTACTTTAGCTAAAATTTAAATGGATAAAAAGATCATAATTTTGAAAATTAAAGCAAAGAAAACTAATTTATTTTCGAGCAACTGTTGCACCTGAACGTGTAAGTAACCTGCTGATTGCCTGGTTTTAAAAGTGCCGCCGCAACAGTCCAATCTACTTATCAATTTCCGGGTATAAGAGGTAAAGGTAAACCGTAGATGCGTTAAATCTCAGTTGCACGCATAATTTCATAATTAGGAGAAAGATGTCTTTTGGTCAAAGACAAGGGTGCGTCGTAAGAAAACATCCGAGTTCTACCAATAGGAGAACGAACCTAGTATATACTGCTAGTTATTAGCCCAGATGCTCTACCACTGAGCCACAGGAGACTCGTGAGAGCTATTAAGATCTATTAAAGGCTACTTTATTATATATTGTACTCAATAGCTGTTTTCTCATCGGTTAGACCCTACAGCTAATTTTGGAAATCAGCGCCACCCATAGATTAGTTAGTTATCTGCTCAGCAGATAACTTACTAATCTGTAGGTTACGCGCGCAATGCATGATTTTATAGCAATATCAATTCAGGTTACTTGCGATGGTGTGTATGTCGTTATTTTCTTCAAAACAAAGCATAACAAAACAATTATTAGATTCGGTTTTTGTGATATCCTAAATAATCAAGGTCTCGGTAAGTGTTATCAGCCGAGCCGTAGGCAGAGGCTGATAACACTTACAGATAACGCAAGGATTTATCCAAAAATCCAAAATTTGCTGTAAAAGATCTCACAAGCTACTGATTTCTGGTCAATGCAGTAGGCCTCTTCATCTACTCTTGTTCTTGAAAAGTATATATAGAGTGCACATCAACGTATGCTTGTAAGCAAGATATATATTAGAGAAACAGTTTGAGGAAATCTACCAAAATTATAAATTCTTGAGCGAACATTGTAAGCAGCCTACTCAGTAAAGCAAGTAGATTGTAGTTTAGGGTTGTATTAGGCATATACTGAATTTACAAATTAAAGTGACCGTTGTTTCCACCTTCTTTTCGTTTTCTAGACGGCTCTTTCACAACACGGCATCTATTTGCTCACAAGACTAAAAAAATCAAAAATTGCACTCCACCATCAATCGAAGAATTCCCTAATGATTTCTTTAATCAATATCAAAGACAGCATGGTGCTGTCATTGTGAACTTTGCAGTGGCTTTCTACATGTTCTGGGCCATAGCCATCGTATGCGATGATTACTTCGTACCGTGTCTTGAGATCATCTGTGATAAGATGGGGCTTCAATCCGATGTAGCAGGAGCTACTTTTATGGCGCTAGGAAGTTCTGCACCTGAACTATTTGCCTCTGTGATTGGTAAGTACTTGAAGTACAAGACTGTGTAAAACGGGTTCGCTTGGAAATCAAAACCAGAGTAGCTTTTCTCGCCATTCAACGGTTGCAGACAAAATGGTGATTCAGTCAAAAACTGATCTCAGTAGCTAATCAGAGGGAGGAATTCCATACCAATGCTTCTACAACTGACTCGATAAATGAAAAAGCCCAGTGGCTCTTCCGGCCCGATTCTATAGTAAACTTCATTTCTTGAACTGCTCCCTGTCCTTCGTGAAAATGGCGTCTACTCTGGGCCTCCGCGATCAGAGAATAACGAGTATTACTTGTTAGGAAAAAAAATAATACAAGAATTCACCTACAAATTTCCTTCGTTTTGACGCAGGTGTCTTCATCACCAAAGGTGACATAGGAGTCGGGACTATTTTGGGGTCAGCAGTATTCAACGTACTTTTCGTCATCGGTGTCTGCGGGATTGGAGCCGGGACGGTACGCTCTTTCTTATTTTTATCTAATAGAGAATGTAGAGATCTGCCCGATAAAATCTTAACCAATAGAGGACAATGTTTTTAAAGCAATTAAATACACGAACTTGGAGCTAAGTGGCGTAGATTAGTACCCTGGCAGTCTGTGACTTACGATGTCACTGTCTACCCACCAACCAACATGCTAGTTTTGCTGACCAAAAAATGTTCGTGAAAGACATTCCAGTAAAGACACGGCCAACGCAAATCGATAGTGTTCACTGATTTTTAGTCTGAACTTTGTCTTGCCTCTACATATTATCGCTCACAGAAACGCTTGCTCAGCAAATTAATGGACCTTATCTGGTTTATTGCATGGTACAGACGCAAGGAAAGTCCCTATGCTCACTTGCTTAGCTCCCGGCCAGTTCAGTTTATACTTTTCTCATCCCTAGAAACCGGGGGGAAGGGTAACTCCGGCCCTATAATGGCCTATACGAGACTGCTCCGCCCGAAAGAGGTACCTTTTTCAGGCTTCAGGTATATGGAAGGGTAGGGATTTTACTTGTTGAAGTATATGACTGTCTGTGAAAGGGCCCAAAGGGCCGAACAGATGAATTTTAGATGGCTTCATAAAGTCGGGAAAACTTTTTATTTTTGTGATTGATTCCTATTTAAATGACAATGCATTTACAGCAGTTAAAAGGGATGCAAAGTTCTAAACAAGGTATGTGAAGGGGCTACCATTTGTTAATAGAAGGTATACGAAAGGAGTATACCTTTTTCGTGAAAAATGGTAATGGGGTGGGACCTCAGGGCGGAGCCTCCCGGTACAATAATTTGTTGAGTACCCCCCACCCCGCTCCGGGCTCCAGAAAAACTTACGTCTGTTAAGTAACTTATTCATACATTTAATAGCGCTCACTTTCGATCCTTATATTTTAATACCTTCTTCTCAGGTTCTGTACTTGGCTTGGTGGCCTCTTGTCAGAGATAGTCTGTTTTACCTGTTTAGCCTTGTAATACTCATGCTGGTGCTCATGGATAACGTGGTTATTTGGTAAGAATGTCGCTTTTTTTTTTTAATTATTACTCACTTGCCTAAAGTAAGGAAACCCGCATGCCGGAATCCGGAAAATTTTAGCTTATCAGTGAAATCCAGTATACAACTCCAGGAATCCGGAATCCCGCATACAATTGGAATCCAGAATTCCAAGTTCCACTGACAAGGAATTCAGAATCCGATACCTAGAATCAGGCATTCACAGCGTGTAGTCCAGAATCCAAGACTGTACTTCGATTAGCTTACATGGGACGAACTCCCAGCAAAATGGACTAATATAAAATACACTGCGTGGCTAACTAGGGGCGGTATTGTTTTTGGATTACCCCTGCACAAATAACGTGGCCAATTTTGCTAAAACCTCAGTAGATCTAACCGAACGATGTCAAGGAGGCAGGTAAAAGGGACCGTCACCTTATTGGTCACACTTTCTACCTCCCCACCAATCCATCTATGGCAACCGCCTTAAAAAAAAGTAAGGACAGCGACTCAGACAAGTACGAAATTTCGCCCCACAAATACGCCTGCTTAGAGTGTTCTGACAGTTCCAAAACCATTCCTTGGTCATAAATCGAAATTCTTCCGATCCCTTACTCCCAGTCATATTATGTTATTATGTTGTCGTCTTGACCATGGCCGACTCTGGGAATTTCTTTAAATTTGAATGAATGTATTCTTTAAGATAATCCTATTTGTGCCTATTATTTAGGTCAGAAGCCACAGCCATGGTTTGCTTTTATTCCATATATCTCCTCATCATGTACTTCAATCCTCGCATAGAGGCGTGGCTTTACAAAGTAACCAAGACAAAAAGCCCCGAATACAAATCCGAGCTTCACGCCTCAAACGGCAAGGGTCAAGCTTATTCGCAACTTCCTGAAGACGAAGAGCATGAACAAGATCAGGGAAAAGATGAAGAAAAAAACGTTGAAAAAGAGACGCCTGACAAAGAAAAAGAAAGTGAGGTTAAACCGAAAGAAGACAAAGATGAATCTAAAGATGTTAAAGGATATTCTGGTAAATTTTTGTCAGCTTAGAGGTGTCAAGTACCCAAATTCGCGTTTTCTCTACCCACTACTTCTCAGTGGCGGATCCAGGGGAGGGGTCCGGGGGCCAAGTCCCCCTTATTTTTAGACTAAACTGAGACCCAAAGGGAGAGAGAGACCGCCCCCCCTTATCCCAGGGTTTGGATGACCGGGGCTCCCCCTTATCTGAAGAACTGGATACGCCACTGCTACCTACTGTCCAAACGTTACTATTTCTTGTGTCTAATGGGCAACACGTAGGACAATAGAGCTGAAAGACTGTTGACAAGTACTAAGACATTTCGCAATGCAACCTCTCCGTCGCGTCCTGCCCAGCGTAGGTGAATAAGTGGATAACCAAAAATCAAGTTTTTTTGAACGAGGGAGTTGGTTCCTCTTAAGAAACTTTGATTGGGTGTATTTAACTTTTTTCAAAAACTATTTAGGAAGAAAAAGAAGGGAGGTGAGTCAAAAAAGGAGAAAAAAATAGCGCTGCAGATAATTAAAAATTACAACAAATGAGAAATATGGTGCTAAAAGATATTTATTTTCTCTTCAGATGGCTGACAGAAAAACAACGAATTGAGTAATCCTTCTTTAATTTTCAGACAGCGGTGAGCATCTCGCTCACCATCACGAATATGATCAACACAGGCCGCATGAGGTCCCGGATCTGACGCTAGGAACTCCGTGGAGCCCGCCCGAGGGGATCTGGGCACGAACCTGCTGGTTCCTTGGTCTCCCAATCAACATTTCGTTTTATTTCACCATCCCGGATGTAAAGAAAGAATCTTGTCAGAAGTACGTCTACTTTTCCTTCGTGATTTGTATCGTCTGGATTGGGGTCACTTCGTACATCCTTGTTTGGATGGTCACCATTATCGGGTACACGTTCATGATCCCCGACACCGTTATGGGTCTTTCTCTGGTGGCGTTCGGAAGCAGCGTGCCAGACTGTTTATCAAGTCTCTTCGTAGCACAGAAAGGTAAGACCAGCTTTGCTACAAGTTGACTGAAACTGCTGCACGGAATTACCTTAAGTTTTGAAATTATATTTGCATACGTCCAACCTGATAGTTAATTCCTGCTTTAAAAAAATGATCAGGGCAAATGCACCTTAAAAGTATAGAAACAGTATGGAAAGAACGTGATATGAATTGCCCAATCGTGCGAAGCGCATAATTCTGTGCAGGAACATTAGATGGAACGGCGCGCGCGCGTCCCCTTTACACAAAAACAAAATACAGCCTCAGGAAAAAAGTAATGAATCAGAATAGAAGGGAGAAAAAGAAGAGAGTTAGGAAGGAAGGGAAAACTGGATGCAAACATCCTTTATCGTGATGGTCCTCTTTCCGCAACAAAAGAAATACACTCTACAGAATTTAGAACCGGGTGAATTTAAATATAAATATTCTAAATTTCTGTTATTTACTTTTGGAACTGAGTGAGTGCTATAAATGAGAAGAATGCTAAAGTTTAGTAGAAAGAAGAGAAGATGGGTGCCGGGATGAGACGCTAGGTATACGGGAAGAAAAGAAGAAAGAAGGAATAGATTTTTTTTTTTGGGGGGGGGGACTGGGGTGGGAGGCTGAAAATGAAAAAAACAGCCGACATTTCGCGACGCCATCCGCCTGGTTTTCCCTCGAAATTTCGTCCGAGGAACGAGCGCAGAATTTTCATGTTGATGGTGACATGTCACTACCCAGATCCGCTTCTGATTGGATGAAGGAAAATTTCAACCAACGACCAATCAGAAGTACTACCCAGTTCTGGGTAGTGATACGTCATTAATGTGGAATTTCTGTGTTTGTTCTTCAGACGCTATTTCGCGGGAAAACCAGTGGTGGCGTCGCGGAATGTCGGCTTTTTTCTCAGGTTAATGAAAAAAGTGCCTGTTTGACTATCAACCGTTTTCTTTCCAGGTGACGGGGACATGGCAGTATCTCACACAGTCGGTAGCAACGTATTCGATATCCTATTGTGCCTTGGTATTCCATGGCTTGTCAAGACAACTGTATGGGACTATGACTCGGCTGTGGTGATTAACAGCCACGGACTTTTCGTGTCTTGTTTCTTTATCCTAGGCTCCATAGCCGTCACACTTCTAATAATTTACTACTACAAGTGGGTTTTAAATCCCAAAGTCGGCTGTATTTACCTTATATTTTACTTCATTTTCTTGGGAATATCCATCTACGTGGAAATGAATGCATTTGGAAAGTATAACCCTCCTATGTGTATTGTAGACGTTTGAACTATGAACGCCGGATTTTGCGACTGTTTTAGCTGGAAAAAAAATAGCCAGATAACGACAGCTATTTTCAAATTTACCTTTTCTGCAACGTTGGGGATCATAGCTATGCGTCCCGGGATTTTCAAATCATTGTGGGGCCAGTGTAACGAAATGGAGCTCAACAAAGACAATGAAGGCGAGGAACCTAGCCGAAGGTGTATAAACAGAAATATCTACTGGGAACCTATATAGTATTGGAGCCTACAACATATCTGGTGCAACCCGCTCCTTTCATTATATTTTTTTCTGAAAAAATTGGGAAAGATACGACATATATGCTGCTCCACTTACCGGCAGGATTGAAGTGTAAGCTTCAAGATGAAAATTAGAGCGCTAGTCTCTTAGGGCCTGTTTTCAAGGAGAGAGTGTTACCCCTGTGCTAGGGTTACCCTAGCAAGCGGGTCAAAGTTAGCTCTGGTTTACAAGCACATTTCACAGGTAGGGTTACCCTATCACCCGCTTCAACCTTACCAGCTTTGCTGATATGTTTCGTCATGCGTGACATTCTTGGCAACGTCCAAGATTTGAAATAAAACTTGAAGTTCTCTATGGAAAACACGTCAAATTCACGAAAAAACGGGAAAATATTATCATCGTATGCAGAAAATACCTTATATTGTTCAGGGCCCAGTTGTTCGAAGGCCGATTAGGGTTTAACCCGGGTTTATTTTTCTTGTGTTCAAAAGCATTTTCTCGGATAATTTTCTCTTTTTTTTAGAGCTTCCAATCATCAACTTGTAGACAAAAAGAATTCAAGCTGAAACGCTTTTTAAGCTTTCAACTATGAATTCAAATCTCGCATTAACCCTGGGTTGTATTAACCCAGCTTTGAACAACTCGGCCCAGATGTTTATAATTTAGCTCAGAAATTGGATAATTCCGTTCAATTTGTCAAGATTACTGTTTACGCATATGAGGAGGAATGTTGTCCCGGGTAGGCGAGTTATCCCATGCAGAGCGTCCACAAGCCAGGTAGGGTAACCCTCTTGCTAGGGTAACTCTAGCACTCAGGTAGGGTTACCCTAGCGCTAGGGTAATCCTACCTACCTTGTAAACACGTCGTGTAAAAAAGAAGAAATGTGCGAGTGCTAGAGTAACCCTTTTGCTGGGGTAACCCTAGCACTAGGGTTATCCTCCCTTCTTGTAAACACGGCCTTAGCTAAAAAATGTTTCTGAAAACATTAAAGTGTTTTCTTTTTTGTCACTGCATGGTGTCTCAACAAAATTAAAGAGAAATAACCAGTTTCTTAGTAGGACGAGATACCTCGTCCGAGATTATGAATGTTACATTGATCAGATTACTTTACCCATTTTCAGATTTGAAGGGTATTCAGCAGAAATCCTTTTGAAACTTAACTCTGATTTTTTGTCGCACAATGAAAATGCGCAATGAAGGGTTGACACTTTTATGGTTAATCCGCCGAACTTTCAAAGTTTACAGGATGATATTAAAAACAAAAGTATTTTTTCCAAAAGATTTTCACAAAAAATAGATTAAGTACACTATAAGGAAATGTTGGTTTCCTTTTGTCCAAAAGAGATGGATATATTAGATACATTGTATCTTCAAACATGAAGAAAAAGTCTTCCAAGGATTCACTCGACACGTCTATATCGCAAAATACATCTTTGTTTCAGTCTACCTTCATTTTTCGTGGCAAACTTCAAGAACAAATCTGTAGAGGCCTCAAAACACAAACAGTTTAAAATAAAGTGATATCCTTTATTACATCCACTTTGAAATCACTGGCTATCCGTGCAATCTGATTGGCCCTCAGCGGTGTGATTTATTCCTAGATCGCACCATTTTTTGCTCTAAATCGCATCTGTTCCAAATCGCGTCATTCATGTTCTAAATCGCATCATTTCTGTTTTAAATCGCACCATTTTTGTTCTATATCGCATCATTTCTGTTTCGAATACAAAATGAGATGTAAAAGCCTTTTTGTTTCGGCTTTTTAACAAACCCGCTACTTGATCGATAAAATATTAGTACTGACTAAATTCTGCGATTTCAAAATGGAAGTAATAAAGTGGTAATTGAACTTCCTGTGGTGCAATTTTGGTCTGAAATCATACTTCACGCGTATGATTTCAGACCAAATTGCACTCAGTTCAATTACCATTCAAAAAAGAAGCCAGAGAGTAGTGTTCTATATAGTTATGTCCAATAGAAGCGATAAAATTTTTTTATTGCAATTTGTATTATGCGATTTTACATTAAAATATGTACTAATTAGAGGTCATGATTTAAAAAAGTAAATAAATTTGGCATGGTGGTTTGTTTGTAAAGCATATATTGGTCGTGTCCTTCAACCCAGAAAACGACCGGACAACTTTATGCGGCCGTACAACTTTGGCTTAAGCGGGTAAGAGGAAGATCGATAAAGGAGAAAGAAAAGTAAGGACGAGAGAACAGTTCTTGCGAAACACGATCTAGACTGTCAGGTTTTCTTTGCTTGAAGTAGACTCTTTTTCTTCAAATTTAGTGAGGGGAGTGCACGCGTGCGCGAGCGCCGAGCGGCGCTTCGCGTGGTCATTTGCGTGTCTCGATGGACCAAGATGGACCAAGAAAAAAGAGAGACTGCTCGTAGTCTACGCCCGAAGAGGATACTCGTTGGAAGTTACATCACAGCTTATAAGACAAAACCCACGTTGGTACCGTTACACTGATTTAAGATTCGCCAAGATTCGTAAATTGATCTAACTTGACATCAGATGGAAAGCGACGGAGCATAGGCTCATTTAGAACAACAACCCTGTTAAAGTTACATGGCATCTTGTTCCCACGCGCTGGATTATTGTCCTCCTTAAGGTGTTTCGATATAGTTTTTCAGAGGCCATACCGATATTTTTCAATCGCTTTAAAAGTGATTTTATTATTGTCTGATCGCTATAACAGTTTCACCAATGATTGACTATAGATTGAAATTTGTCAAAATGTAGGTTTTAGTAAAATCGATATTACTATGACAACAATAAAGAAAAAACTTTGAAAATTGATAAACAACAAATTTTGCGCGATCTAGACCAGCTACTGAAAATCCAACACTACGAACTTAAAGTTTGGTGTTTAGCAAATACCCTTCGTAAGAAATAAAAAATTCTGTGTGTTTTCCTAGTGTTGGATTTTCAGTAGCTGGTCTAGATCAGAAAAAAATCGGCTTTTACCAATTTTAAAGTTTTTTGTTTATTTTTGTCATAGTAATATCGATTTTACTTAAAACTACATTTTCACAAATTTCAATCCTTAGCCAATTACTGGTGAAAATTTAATAGCGATCGGACAAGGAGAAAAACACTTTTAACTGGAAGGCGATCGAGAAATATCAGTATGGCCTCTGAAAAAACTATATCGAAACACCATCAGTCTGAAGATCATGTTGTTGTTTAAAAAGTGGAAAACCACTTTTGAATTTTTGAACGGTTTTTGTCAAGAATGTTTATTGCACATTATCTGTGGTGGTTTTTCTTTGATTGTTTCTTTCTGTATGGTATTCTTCCTCGGTTTTTGTGCTTATGTCCTTCTCTACGTCTATAAAATATATATATATTTTCATTAAAAAAACCTTGGACGAATAAACATTACAGGAAAAGGTGTAATGTCAAAAATAGTTCTCAGTCGGTGGGCCCAAGCCAACACCTGCCTGCAGTACTAACGCAAAAGGCTTGACGCTCAATCTGACAAGTGGATTTTCATTTCAGTGATGAAAATTGTTATTTCTGCATAGATACTGTATAGATGAAATGCAGTAGAACCTGATGATAGGCCTGTGGCGGATTACTTTATCTTCATGTCACTCAAACTTTTATATCTCGGCATTTTTATAAAGCACAGTAGACAACCTTATTTTTGGCACCCACGGTTACGCTCAATATGTATTAACACACAAATCGTTTTCTAGTACAGCGAAAACTCGATATCACAAGTTTCTTTTCATATATTTCACTTTCGTTCGTCATACCTGGGTCTTTGCTTTATACAGGTTACGTTGTTATATCGAGCTTCAACTGCGGCAAATACAAGTTCCGTTATTTTTTATGTTCTATAGTTAATGTTTATACAGTTTCAAATTTACAAACTAACAAAGCATAAAATCTACATTAATGAGGGCCAATTATCCTACCTATGACGCTGACTATTTAACCAAATTGCACTCAGTTCAATTACCATTCAAAAAAGAAGCCAGAGAGTAGTGTTCTATATAGTTATGTCCAATAGAAGCGATAAAATTTTTTTATTGCAATTTGTATTATGCGATTTTACATTAAAATATATACTAATTAGAGGTCATGATTTAAAAAAGTAAATAAATTTGGCATGGTGGTTTGTTTGTAAAGCATATATTGGTCGTGTCCTTCAACCCAGAAAACGACCGGACAACTTTATGCGGCCGTATAACTTTGGCTTAAGCGGGTAAGAGGAAGATCGATAAAGGAGAAAGAAAAGTAAGGACGAGAGAACAGTTCTTGCGAAACACGATCTAGACTGTCAGGTTTTCTTTGCCTGAAGTAGACTTTGGTGAGGGGAGTGCGCGAGCGTCGAGTGGCGCCTCGCGTGGTCATTTGCGTGTCTCGCGCGTTTTGCTCGATGGACCAAGAAAAAAGAGAGACTGCTCGTAGTCTACGTCTTTGGAAGTTACATCACAGCTTATAAGACAAAACCCACGTTGGTACCGTTACACTGACTTAAACTACAGTTTTCTTTTGTGCCAAGATTCGTAAACTGATCTAACTTGAAATCAGATGGAAAGCAACAGAGCATAGGCTCATTTAGAACAACAAGCCTGTTAAAGTTACGTGGCATCTTGTTCCCACGCGCTGGATTATCGTCCTCCTTAAGGTGTTTCGATGTAGTTTTTCAGAGGCCATACTGATATTTTTCAATCGCTTTAAAAGTGATTTTATTATTGTCTGATCGCCATAACAATTTCACCAATGATTGACTATAGATTGAAATTTGTCAAAATGTAGGTTTTAGTAAAATCGATATTACTATGACAACAATAAATAAAAAACTTTGAAAATTGATAAACGACAAATTTTGCGCGATCTAGACCAGCTACTGAAAATTCAACACTAGGAACTTAAAGTTTGGTGTTTAGCAAATACCCTTCGTAAGAAATAAAAAAATCTGTGTGTTTTCCTAGTGTTGGATTTTCAGTAGCTGGTCTAGATCAAAAAAAATTTGGCTTTTACCAATTTTAAAGTTTTTTGTTTATTGTTGTCATAGTAATATCGATTTGACTTAAAACTACATTGTCACAAATTTCAATCCTTAGCCAATTACTGGTGAAAATTTAATAGCGATCGGACAAGGAAAAAAACACTTTTAACTGGAAGGCGATCGAGAAATATCAGTATGGCCTCTGAAAAAACTATATCGAAACACCATCAGTCTGAAGGTCATGTTGTCAAAAAGTGGAAAACCACTTTTGAATTTTTGAACAGTTTTTGTCAAGAATGTTTATTGCACATTATCTGTGGTGGTTTTTCTTTGATTGTTTCTTTCTGTATGGTATTCTTCCTCGGTTTTTGTGCTTATGTCCTTCTCTAGGTATATAAAAAAAAATATATTTTTATTAAAAAAACCTTGGACGAATAAACATTACAGGAAAAGGTGTAATGTCAAAAATAGTTCTCAGTCGGTGGGCCCAAGGCAACACCTGCCTGCAGTACTAACGCAAAAGGCTTGTCGCTCAATCTGACAAGTGGATTTTCATTTCAGTGATGAAAATTGTTATTTCTGCATAGATACTGTATAGATGAAATGCAATAGAACCCGATGATAGGCCTGTGGCGGATTACTTTATCTTCATGTCACTCATACCTTTATATCTCGGCATTTTTATAAAGCACAGTAGACAACCTTATTTTTGGCACCCACGGTTACGCTCAATATGTATTAACACACAAATCGTTTTCTAGTACAGCGGAAACTCGATATCACTAGGTTCTTTCCATGTATTTCACTTGCGTTCTTCATACCTGGGTCTTTGCTTTATACAGGTTACGTTGTTATATCGAGCTTCAACTCCGGCAAATACAAGTTCCGTTATTTTTTATGTTCTATAGTTAATGTTTATACAGTTTCAAATTTACAAACTAACAAAGCATAAAATCTACATTAATGAGGGCCAATTATCCTACCTATGACGCTGACTATTTTCTGATTGACTGACAGCCGCGCTTCATTGTAATCAAACTCAGAATTGACTTTATTTTCTCCGGCTCTACCACATGTTAAACACATAATCCTAGGCATGGCTTTGAATGAACCTGACCGAGATAAATTAAGGTAAGACATAACAAACACACCAGGTTTAGCCTTTTTAGATTTTTTTTAAGCAAGAGTTCTAGCCAAAACTCACAAACTTAATTTCCGCAAAAATTTGAATACAAATTTAACAGCTAACACCTTCTTTGTCTTGCACAAGACGCATATGTTTGAAGGCGGCTAGACTTAACCAAGCGGGAGAACGTTAATATTTGTTTTGCTATATATTAAGAACAAAAACATCGATTATAGATTATGGGGTAGGTTGTAACGCCGGTTCCTCAATTTCGTGATCAAAAGTAAAGCGAATCGAAGTGCATTTCCCCCTCTTTTTTATTCCTTTTTTTTACAAGTTATAAATTAATTATCGCCATGCGGATACTCCTGTCGAACTTTGGGGTTTCCATTGGCGAAAATCCTCTCTTTAAAAAAAAACTTGAATACTTGGCAAGCTGTTTAATATTTTCATCACGTTATCAATACCAAAATATGCCATGAATAATTCACTATATCTTTTTTAAACAGCACATGGTAACATCTGGTCTTTCTTTTTTCTTGCTCAGTTCCGGCTAGATCTCAAACGTAAGCTAATTGGTGAAAATCTGTATTTGGTTTGTGTTGAATGAACGTACTACCTTAATCAAGAGCGATTAAAACTTGCTTGAAAATATATTACTGCTTAATAACCTACTGGCAAAGACCCTGTCGTATGTTTTATGCTAATAAAAAAAATATGTTGAAACAGCGAATGAAGAGATTTGATATGTGATAAGAGAAAATTATTCACTGAATACATTCACGGGCCAGATTATTATTATTATTGTTATTATTATTATTATTATTATTATTATTATTATTATTACTATAATATTATTATTATTATTATTATTATTATTATTACTATAATATTAGTCTGTCCGACTTACCAAGCAAGTGTGTTTGTGCTGAGAAGTATACCGTCTGCCATACCCTGTCATGCAAAAAGGGAGGGTTCGAGGCGCAGAGACACGATGGTGTTCGTAACCTACTTACCTCACTTATTGGTAAGGTTTGCACCAACGTTGAAGTAGAACCACAACCACAACCACTCGATAATGAACGATTCAACCTCAGAAGCGCGGTAACAAGCCCGGAGGCAAGACTGGACTTTAAGGGAGGGGGCTTTTGGTCCCGTGGAGTTACAGCACTTTTTGATGTCAGAGTAACACATGTTAACTCCAAGTGTAACCAGGGAAAAGCAACATCCACAATAATTAAGGAGCAGGAGGAGGAGAAAAAGCGGAAGTACCAACAGATGGTGCTGGACGTTGAAATTGGATCTTTCACTCTCCTAGTAATTTTTGGAACCAACGGTGGGATGGGAGCCGCCTGCAACTGCTCTCTCAAACGCCTAACCGAGAAGCTCTCAGAAAAGAATGAAGAACCTCAACATGTTACCATTACTTGGATTAGGACATTGCTTTCTTTTGAGATTTTAAGGTCGGTTCACACATGCGTAAGAGGTTCCAGGACACCCTTCCACAAAATTCCATAAGGGGATTCATTTTTAAATCCTAAAACCGTGCCGAGAAACAGTAATGTTGTTAGCAAATGAACAATAAAAGTTATTGAATTTTGCTTTCGTATGATATGAAGAATTATGCAGATCTCAGAGGCTGTTACTCACCAAGGTCACTGTGCTCGAGTTCATAAATTATCTACAAAGAGAAACACACTAACTTATAGAAAGCTTTGTTACTAACCGACAATGGAAGGGTTTAACCTTAAGGGAAATACGTATTGAAAGTTATTGTTTTCGCAAAAAGGAATGCAAATGTTTTAACAGCGAGACAGAATATATCATTTTTCGCCGGGTTGCGTATCCTGGAATTGAGTCCAAGAGAGCTGGAGGCTGGAGTAACCTTTGTGAAAGAAACCTCATTGCTTTTCAATCGTAAATCATCTTCTTAGGCTACGAATGACACAAGGTTTCTATCAAAACAAAATCACCGTCAGCCCGCCTTCCACTCAAAGGCTAGGAATGCTCAGCTCCCAAAAAAATGGTCGGCGCTCAAGTACACACTATACCGCTCTTCTTTGTGACACAAATTAAATCAATTCCATAATTTACCCATTGTATTTTAACGAAGCGTAGCACTTTTATAGAAAAAACTAATTGTTTGCTATATCGTCTTAACAGATAATTACCAAATGCTACGTTGTTCGTACACAAGTGCCGGAATGTCTCAGACAACTGTCGTTTTAGACGATGCGTTCATCGTTGGGGCTCCGCATTGCTTTGTCTTACCTAAAAGCCTGCTTGTACTCACTGCCTGCTTTCAAATTCACATCAGTAAAATAGACGCAGACAGAAACGGTACATATCTGCGAAGTACGGAGCCTTCACCGTCGCTCAGTCAACACAGCACGGGAGCCGTTCAGAAACATTTACAAGCAACTGCAGACTCACTAAACAACAGTCTTTCACTCAGTCGCTTTCAAACGGCGTCCGCGAGCCCTACTTCACAGATGACAAAGATGGATAGCGGATCAAACATAACAAATGACAAGAAGGCAAATAGACACTATTTAACAGGGGACAAAGACAAGGGTGTTATATTTTATAAAAGGGTAAGTTATGGCTCTAGCATAATGTACATTAGAATGGATGATGATGTTGTGTCTCATGGATCAAAAAACTGTTAGCGAATTAGCCTGCGAGTAAGCTGTGGCCTAACAATTTGACTACGTCATCTATAACGACAGGGTTTCGTTTATGAACGCCGACTTTTTTTGTTATTGTTTTATTGTGCTCTCTGTTCCTTGGGTTTGCAGAAAGAACGAAGCATGATGTTTAATGGTAGCGGAAGGGATGGGCAGTATTCGCTTAATTGCAACATATTTACCTCGTTATTTACTTTCCATCTGATGCAAACAAAAGTGACTGCTCTATTGCTATAACGGATAATGGAATTTTACATAGGTTAATTATTGATATAATTAAGTTCTTATGACAATGGAGTGCCGGTTAAGCTTACTCTCAACAATTCTTGGTGTAGTAGAGATCTTTGATTTTACACTTATGCTGAAATTTCTTGCGTTTGTTATTGCTGGATTTCAGCATGGTATTTGTACATAGTCCTGGCCAACTATCCCTGATGATTTGACCAACTTCATTGCACCTTGTAGCCTGTGCGCGCGCAAAGTTTTGGCAGAGGAGCTGCGAAGCCGTGCGAAGCATGGAAAGGAGAAGCTTTGAATTTTCACGCCACAAAGCCACGAGAATGGCGGCTTAGCCGCGAAAACTCTCACCAGCGCTAAACCAATTCCGCCAGCTACGTAGGCTGACCAACTTGCTACTCCTTTAGATTTGTAGCCACGTGTTAATCTAGGCAAACGAAAGCTAGACACTAACTATTAAAGGCTTACAACAGTCGACCTGTCGTGAGCCATATTACTGGTAAGCTTCAAAGACTAATTTTGTCTTTTTGTTTCCACTTTGGTTTCAGATTGGTGGATGGATAACCTTAGGCGTCGTTATAACAGCACTCGTGTTTCTTACTATTACCCATTTTAGCTCCATACGTCAGGTAAATATGAGGGAACAAATCAGGGAGCCATTCTGTTCCAGCCCGCCAAAACCAAGTGTTTAACTGGAAACCAGAGCAAGATCACACCACGCCGACTTCTTCGTTAAAAATTTAGCGTGGAAACTTTCCGCTCTGCCTTAAGAGCGTAATTTTGTTAGTCCATCTCAGTCTGTTTTATATCTGCAGCAAGGCTGAGCCAGTCGGAGACCGACAGTAGGCAGCTGATCATGATACGTCAGCAAATGGAAATCCAGAAATTCCGACACTGAAAGCCGCTATGTTAGCACTCCCCCGCAGACGTTCTTTCGGCTTGTGACGCAATCCTCCCCAACCAACGTCTGCTGGAGCGAGTGGAAAAAAAAGTAGACTAATCACATTACACTTCTAGATCTGGGAAATGCACTTTGGACCTTGAGAAATTTCGTGCGAGGCTCCAGAAAAGATCAGAAAAGGAAAGATGAAGACCTTACACTTACAAAAAAACTAATCATTTAACTCACACGCCTTCAAACTAGAAGCTACCCTCACAATCTCATTTAAAAAAATTACTACGGAGGTAAAATTTGGTAAACAAAAGACGAATTTACTACAAAACAATATGCTGCAAAAGAAAGTCAGTCTTTTGTTCAGTTACAGGTACTATCCCACCACTGTCTCACCAAAAGAACACCTTTGTGAGCAATTGGCGTCCAATCCAGCGTTTACAGAGAGAAGCATTTAAAAAGCCAACCCTTATCTCCTACATTCTTGTCCGGAGGAGAACTCTTTGATCACGTATCACACTTTACCTAGTTTTTACGTCGTTTTTGGCTTGTCAACACTCTGGCCTCAACAGCGCCGATTGCTTCTCCGATAAGCTTTAGGAAGACGAAGAAGTGCCATAGTACTGCTCTGTGAAACCACATTTTCAAGGTCTCTGTGACTCTATTTTAGCTTTAAATCGCAAGCTTTTAATCACAATTCAACTTCATTACATTGTATTGATGAACACTGTACAGAAAAACAAAACGTCTTTCATACGAATCTCTAATTCATAAACTATTCGTCAGACTCTACATGAAAAGCATCACGGGAAACTGGAAAGAAATACATCACAACTTTGTATGGCCAGCTTGCGCTCAGCTTTAACCTTTTCACTCTAACTCTACAGCTTGGCTAAAAAAAATCTCAATGAGAGAGATTGAACAAAGAGCATAAACCAATAAATCGTAGAAGGTTTTAATTGTCCAGCGTTTAATTCTTCAAAAAAGGACCAACTGACAAAGACATGCACCTTAATATTTTCGCTTATGACTGCAGTGCTTAAACTATACTTTTAGCGTCCAATGGCGCTACGAAGAATTCAAATTCCCATTATCTTTTACTAGATTTAACAACTCATGACAAAATTCTTAGTAAATTAAGCGTTAAGCGCGCTTGGCGATACCTAGGGTTCGATATTTACTGTAAATTATTAATTAATTTCCTAGCCCTATAGAATTGTTCTTCTCTCATTCCGACTAACAACAATACACAAAAGATTTCATTATATTTCACATTTGCCTCAGAAAGTTCATTTAATTAGTAAAAAATATCCATGAACTCATCGAAGCATGATCCTTGACTTCCACGTTATAAGTCGTTACGTATTGGAATTACAAAACGATAGCAGGACTTTGTAATCACCCCTTAAGACAAATATTTTCTTCGGAGCTTCACTGCCAGTGGCGATATTTCTCAATAAATTATGCATGCTTGAGTATTGCATGCATCTTCAGCCAATATACCTTGAACCTTGGATGCATCATAGCTGTTATATCTTACATCTCCTGCCTTTTTACGACCATGTTTGTAATTAGTTCATGACGTTTAAAAATTCATCAGGACCGTTCCACCTTCCTTTAAGTACACAAAACGGACCTCACAATAACTGCCACAAATATCATAATTAAAGTCAAGTAGGCCACGAAGAGTTGCAAGTCAAACTCGCGTTCCTTTCTAGGATCGAGAGACGTAGAGTTCATGGCAGTCCGCATGAAAACGACAATTCTACGAAACGGATTCTTGAAATGCATTCAATCCTCTGTCCACTGACTATACGAACTCGTCATTCCCTTGAATCTTCAGCCGGAGTTGAAGAAATGTACGTTGTTATGCATCAAGTACAGAACTTGCAGAAGAGCATTAGGTGACAGAATTTCCACTGTGACCTGAATGGAGTATCTTTTCCACTCCAGAATATAATCTATTCTACCTGCTTGAGACGGCATACGGCATATCTCTGATGAACATATGAACTTTGTTATCGAAATCAGAGCTTGTTGGAAATGAGAAACAGAATAGTGGACTAAATTGTTGTTGTCTTAAAAGCACGTGACGTCACAAAAAGACAAAGCCATATCATCTAATAGATCGTGTATGGACAATAGACAATCAATCTTTTTTAATATTTCCACTAATCTGTGTCTCATGAGAGACTTCATAGCATTGACACATATTAACAACAACAACAAGCTGCTTTGCGTTTGCGGGGTGTTACTAAAACGTGGAACGGGTAGCGAGGAACGGGTAACGAGGAACGAGGAGCAGGGGAACGAGCACGGGGAACGGAAATAAAAGGAAAAATGGGAAAAAAGCAGAGAATTGGAAATGAAGTTACTGATAGGGCTAGGGTTCAAGTTACTCATTGTTCCCATTTTCTCGTTCCCCGCTCCCTGTTTCCCGTTTTAGTACCAATCAGCTGCTTTGCGTTGGGAATATTCTGGCGCCGCAACACCTTTGCGTATCCCATCTAACACTTTCGACTGCAGTTTGATTACTAAATAAGCTAGTGAGAAATATGGCTTGTTTTATTGACGAAACACTATTAGCTAGTTTAAAGTTTTATCTTGCACAACGTTTTGCCATCACGTCCATTTATAACTTACACGTCTACCACTGACTTTACAGACTGGCGTGCATTAGACTCGATATTAAGTACTGCCTCAAATTATATTGTTATCCCCTCGCTTTCTCCAGTTTATGCAGGGAACTCACGTGGTTTGATTGGTTATTTTCACCCGGCTCTTCAAGTGATAAAATGAATAGTCAGGAACTGGTTTAGATGCACGAGGTTTCATCTTTCAATACCAAAAAGATTTTCTGCCAAGACATATAGTAAATGGAACAGGCTCTCTTACATACATTTTTCTACTGCCAAAATAGAGAGCTTAAGCAACTACGACGACGACTTCAAATAACTGATTATAACAACGGCTCTGAACGTGCATCACGCTTTTTAGTACATTTCTTTGATGTACCACTGCACGACTACGACGTGAAACCTCCTAACTTGACGTTTGATGGAGGACGTGGGCATACGACGACGAATTTTCCTTCCTCTTTTTGAACTTTATAAAATCCTTACGAATTCAACTCCAGGAAAAGTCGCCTGCATTTGACATAATTATGGAGCGCGTCCAAATAGACGCGATTAAGTTTGAAAGAACGCAAATTTTTCAGCGACGCTTTTACTGCCGTCGTCGTCTTCCTTGCTTAAGGTAGCTATGACCCATCAGGTGGACTGGAGTAACTGGAGAGGAGCTTGGAATCAGTCGGGGGTTACATGATACTTTCGCGCCCTTTAGTCCTGAAATTCGTTTACCGCGCATGCACTCACGCAGGTGGAAACAGGTTAAGCAATGTTCCTACAATGAACACAGTTCCACCTGGAAAGAACGTGTTATAAGGAAAAAAAATGTTTTTTCCCCACTTCACCCTCATGTCGAGCCAATTTGTCCTTCAACGGTAGCATTGCTACAGTTAGAGGAAAAATTGGTTCTTCATGCGGGTGAAGAGGGGGGAAAGGATTTTTTTATTATAAGCAAGCATTTCAAGAATTTCGTTTTATGTCATCAAGTCGCTGGATTCACAATGATGTTAAAACACGGAGGGAAACATTAATTATTGAATTCTGTCCACCTGAGATATCAAAAGGTTACTATTATATCTGTTATTTTTTAAAGTTGAAAGCCTCTTGTTTTTTGCCTCTGCTCTACACCAAGAACGAGACACAAAACTTAAATTGCAAGTTAAGTTCGCTTTTTAACTTCCTACGCACGATTATATTTTTGGTACCGTCAATGACAGACAGCTAACGCAGTAAGTACGGTCTATACTCTTCTCCTATTGATTCAAATTTAAGCCATTCACCGAAAATCCCGCTGCATAACAGTGACCAGAGAGTTCACAAAGACTGCCAGAAAGTATAGTACGATATGGGAGGTTTGAACTACATGATTTAAGAATAAATACATATTTACAAGACGAACCCAATTTTGGTGAAATAACAAGGAAAATCTTCAAGAGTGGCGAATAGTAGGGAGTGTTAAATTCTAAATTTCACACCATATAAACTAGGTGAAACTTCGGTATCCCTTTTATCTTCAAACCAACACTATGTCGTGTAAAAGGCTTTCCTACACTAAATGACTAAACAATCCTTCGTTCTCCGCTCCTAAATTTTGCTACATAGCTTATCGCTTTAAGACGACACTGCTAACGACCGACTTCAAGGAGAACAATCTCCTCATTATCCACTAAAAAGTATCCGGCATTTATTTATAATGACGAACGGAATTATGGACGTCGTTACACAGACTTTGCTGCCGTGATTTGTTTATTTCTAATAAAAAAAAACACAGTCCTTTTCTTCATCAACTTCAGATGTTGGTCAGACGTCTCTCAGTTGTGGTAGCGCTGGGAATTCTTATGTTATACGCGGAAGTCAATGCAGGTAGGAGATAAATTATACCAGTTGTTATTCTAAACGCAACCTGCTGCTTTGCGTGTTTTCGTTATACGAAGATTTTACCATCGACACACTGTCTTAGCGCCACACTCTCCTTCATACTAACTTCTTTCCCGACTAAATTGGCTTCCCTTCTTCTTAATTTCCTACCAAATAAGCTCTTCTTCTTCTTAACAAGCGAGAGCAAATACTACATTGTCTAAACCTCATGAGATGCCTGACCTTCTTCTGAGCTATAGAATATAGACTCTACCGCCTACCAACTACCTGCTTTATTTCCGCCCACCCCTCTAGTCAGAAAGCTTTGTCCAGCCAAGAGCACATAACTGCCACAATAACAGCTGTCAACATAAAGAAATGACTTAGAATGCTTGTAACATATTGATACTGGATGTGTGTCATATCAGGAGCCTGGTGCACACTAGATCCCGCGCTTCAGACCTAAAGAAGCGAGAGAAGGGGACTTTGACGAGGGATCGATTACGCTTCAAGATCGAGGTTCGAAGCTTATCACTGCTGCTAAGGCAAAAACTCTTTTTGTGCAGGACATTAATTGGATGTTTTTAATACAATACAGGGCGCGTTCCAGAGGTTGATCACAGTAAAGGAGCCTATATGCATGATCATCCTGACTTTCCGGCCGTCCAAGGAGGTATGAACTATGGCAGCTGGAACTTGCACTTATATTATTTGCATAAAAATCTATGCAATTGGCAGGCAAATACCAAGTAGTGTATATCCGTGGGGCTTATAATCGGATAATTTTTTGTTTACAGGTAGATAGACCTATATCTTGGGGGGGGGGGGACTAATAAGTAGGGGGGGGGCTTATAATCGCAAGTTTTTTGGGGGGGTGTACAGGTATGGACTAATATCTTGGGGGGGGGGCTTTTAAGTGGGGTGGGGCTTAAAATAAAATGTTTTTTTTTGTTTACAGGTAGATGGACCTATAT